TTGCCGGCGATGGTGTCGGCGGCGATGGTGAGCCGACGGTGATGATAGGCTGGGTGCGGCAGTGGGGCTGGTGGTAGTGGGAGTTGGGGCGGCAATGGAGTTGGAGCAATTACAGGCATTCAAGTCAGGGATTGGTGGTGACGGTGGGGGTGCGGCGGGTGGAGGTGACGGTGGTGGTGTGGGTTGGGTCGATGGGGCGATTGGGAGGTGGCGGTGGTTGTGTGGGCTTAGGATGAGGGAAGGTAAGGATGAGGGAAGGGCAGTGTTGAGATAACAGGGAAGGGGAAGGGGAAGGGGATAAGGGTATTTTAGACATTTCCTTCCCAAAGTCAACACCCAATAAAAATGACCAAAAGTCAAAATGGATACTTAAAATCCGGACGGAAGGAGTAACTATTAAAAATCATATGCTTTAGATTTTTATGTTACGTTAATTTATTGAATTCTTAGTATTTTAAATACACTTTATACTATATTACTTTGCTTGACTTTTGATGTTGAAAACATGGTTTGTGTGTATATACATATATTCGAATATTCGAATATCATCCGAATCGAATATATCCCTATTTGTATTTGTATTTGATTAATATTCGAATCAAAGATAACATTTGAATTTGTATTTGAATAACACGAATTCGACCATATTCGAATATGAATCTCGAATCAAATTTAAAATATTTGATTTGTTTACATCCTTAAGCAGAACGAAGGGAGTATTCAAGAAAACTTGTAGAATTATACTTCTCTAAATGTGGTGTAATATCGTGGAACCACTTAAATTGAGGTATTTATAATATTCCGTTTGTAAAATTTACAGTTACTATTCTCCCTAACGCTCTTCATAAAGTCCCATTCGCGACCTCGCACCCTCATGACTACTCTAGCCCTTGCCATTGCACCGTATACATGGTTGCCATTTTGGTCAAACTTTTAACCCAAAAAGTCAACAAAACTTATGAACTACAATTGTAATGGTTATGAGGATGTGAGGTCGGGGATTGGAGTTTATGAGGGAGGTTATACAGATTGTACACAATGAAATCAAAAAAATTAAATCTAAAATGTTTATTATCTACATATCTAAAGAAAATTGTAGAGTTATACTACTCTAAATTGGGTAACATCGTGACACCACTTAAATTGAGATATTTATGGTGTTTCGTTCATAAAATTGACGGGTCCTATTCTACTTAATGCTCCACATAAACCCTTAGCCCTAACCTCGCCTTCATGACCACTCTAACCCCTGCACCGAATACATTTGGTTGACATTTTATTCAAAATTTTGATCATGAAAGTCAACAAAACTTATAGAGGCAATTGCATGGGCTATAGTAGTTGTGAGGATGTGAGGTCAGGGTAGGGTTTTATGCAGTGTTTTGAAGACCAGACCGGACCGACCAACCGGTCAACCCGTGAACCGGCAGCATATCCGGTCCGGTCCACTGAAGAAACCCGCTTCCCATTTGACCCGCCCAAACCCGTCAGACCCGGTGAACCGGGTGACCCGGGTCGACCCGTCTGGTTCTCGGGTTTGGGCTTAAATCTATATTTTATTAAATTTTCCCACATAAAAATTGAAAGAGCCAGATGGGAATCGAACCCAGCTCCTCCTATATGCCAGTGCAAGTTATCAACCAAGTGAGCTACTCAATCTTTGTTCAAAAGGCTAGGTATCAATCATATCTATTTATGGTTTTACAAAAGGTTCATACAAAATAAATATATATACTCCGTAGTTGTTTTGTGCAAGTGTGAATTTGTATTTATGAACTTTTAAAATAGTTTTAAAAATTGAGAATTATTTAATTTTTATTTGAAAACAAATATACTATGTATATTTTATAATTAAAAAATTGTTGTTTTTAAAAATCATGTAATATTTATTAATTATAATTTAATATGCTATATTTTTTATTTTTCAATCAACTAAATATTAAATTTAAAATGTCATATGTATACAAGAATAAAATATATAGTCTTTAATTTTTGAAAATATGAGTATCCCCTTATTATTTAAGTATTTGTTAGAGATTAAATATTAACTTTTGATAATAATAAAAATAATAAAATAAAAGGTGTGAAATAGCATATGTACAAGGATATTAAAAAATAGATGGAGAAATAATAACATAAATTAAAATATTCTATTGACCACTATACATTAAACCACAACAATCGGCATCATAACAATACATTAAACCACAACTACCTAATCACCTTATATTAAAACCTGTACCATTTAAAAAATGCAAGCATGTGACTAAATCTATAAGAAAACATCTTTAGCTGGTATCAGATTTCCTTTATAGATACTTTGGTTTCTGCTTCTCCATTGCCATAACAATAGGCTTCAAAAAAACTCTTTCCGTCCTAGAGTATTCATCCAATTGACAGTTCAAAACAAGTGTAATATATTAAAATTATCTTTATACTATTATACATTAACGTTTGTACTTAATTAAGGCTCTCTCTCTCTCCCTTCCTCCCTCTCTCTCTCACTTCATCTATTGCAAATTTTTATTTTGGTATGTAGCAAGAAACTCAATTTTGTTATAATGTACGGAGTACATATATTATTGGGTATGTTGAAAGAATCTTCTGTTTTTATGTAGTGTAAGTTTCTTGATATGCTGCAAAGAAATTGATTTTTTAGGTATATTGCAATTTTTTTAAGTATGTTGCAAATAGATCTACAAGCTTTTATAATTTCATTCTTTGTTTTGAATAATGCGTGGATCACTTCATCTCTAAATAGCATAAATTTTAATTTTATATACGCCTCGTAACCAGTTGGATCAATTCAAACTCGATAACTCTATATCATGAACAAGCACTCTTAAACTCGAATTCAAAGCGACCCAGAACCCGAAATAATCCAATTTTATAATACCAAATCCAAACCATACCCGACCAACCGTTTTGTCGGGTTTAATCAACATATATCTACCAATTCTACTCTTTGTTTGACATATCAATCAAAGGATGACTTTGTGCTTAGAAATAGAAATTTTGCTCCCAACAACATTGTACAAAACTTGTTTATTGTTGCCTATAAGCCATTGTTAACCTAGCTCCCGCTGATCCCCTTGGATTCCTTTTTTTCAATAAAAGCATGCATCAGTCTTTATCTTGTAACCTCAATTTTCAAATGTTATTGCCTTAATCCCTTTACACTATGTTTGATTCAAAGATCTTAAAAAGAAAAGGAAAAAGTGATTTTCTAATTTCCTCACAAAAATAGGAAGAATTCAGCCTCTCTTGTGGCATTTGTATAGTTTTGTTTTTTTCTAAAAAAAGTTGAGAAACAGCAGGATTCAGCTAGGAGACACATCTCTCTTTTAAGATAGGCCTGGACACTTTTTTTAAAAAAAGTGAAAGTACGATTCTGGGATTTTATGAGATCTGTAAGAAAATTTTCTGGTTTTTGTGAATTTGAGATGCTTTTTCTTCCAGTTTAAGTTGTTGAAAACTAGTTTATTTGTTCATCTAAAAAAAAGGGTTAAACATGTGAAGTAATGATTCAAAGAAGAGAGAGATTATGGAAAAGTTGTATTTTCAGTTAAGAGATCTGAAATGTTTTTTGGTTGTGTTTTATACAGCTAACAAAGACATACGCGTTGGCACGTAAATTGGAACAAAAAGCCGAAAAATACCCTGAACTTACAATTGGAATTTTCCCGGAAACATGGACCTTACACGTTCTATGGCCACAACCCGGAAAAAAAACATAAAAAACGAGAATCTGAGCGATTAGAGAGAAAGCCAATTTTCCCACCTTTCTGAGTATCACCACTAGCAGCCACGACATCCCAACTGAAGATGGCACAGCAGTGGAGAAAACATGGTTCCTACAGCAAGGATGTCAAGCAACGAGTGTATTTCAACTTGGGCATCAAAGTTGATTCCGAGTTGAATATTTTGGAAACAATATATAAGTTTTGTCTATTTACACTTCCAATAAAAAAAAGTTATTATTTATTGAAAATTCTAAGTATTAATCATCAATTTCATGAAATTGATAACTCCTACCGCCTAACCCCCCGGTAAACACCTCCCCCTCTCCCCCGCCAAGTCTCAATCCAAACTACTCTCCCACCTACGTCAATTGCACCTTGAAGGTATAAAATCAAAAAATTTGACTTTAAAATCAATTATACTTTTGAAGTACAATTGACGTAGGTGGAGAGTAGTTTGGGTTGAGACTTGGTGGGGGAGAGGGGGAGGTGTTTACCGGGTAGAGGCGGTAGGAGTAATCGATTTCATGAAATTGATGATTAATACTTAGAATTTTCAATAAATAATAACTTTTTTTTACTGGAAGTGTAAATAGACAAAACTTACATATTGTTTCCAAAATATTCAATTCGGAATCAACTTTGATGCCCAAGTTGAAATACACTCGTTGCTTGACATCCTTGCTGTAGGAACCATGTTTTCTCCACTGCTGTGCCATCTTCAGTTGGGATGTCGTGGCTGCTAGTGGTGATACCCAGAAAGGTGGGAAAATTGGCTTTCTCTCTAATCGCTCAGATTCTCGTTTTTTATGTTTTTTTCCGGGTTGTGGCCATAGACCGTGTAAGGTCCATGTTTCCGGGAAAATTCCAATTGTAAGTTCAGGGTATTTTTCGGCTTTTTGTTCCAATTTACGTACCAACACGTATGTCTTTGTTAATTGTGTAAAACACAACCAAAAAACATTTTAGATCTCTTAACTGAAAATACAACTTTCCATAATCTCCCTCTTCTTTGAACCATTACTTCACATGTTTAACCCTTTTTTTATAGATGAACAAATAAACTAGTTTTCAACAACTTAAACTGGAAGAAAAAACATCTCAAATTCACAAAAACCAAAAAATGTTCTTACAGATCCCATAAAATCCCAGAATTGTACTTTCACTTTTTTTAAAAAAAGTGTCCAGGCCTATCTTAAAAGAGAGACGTGTCTCCTAGTTGAATCCCACTGTTTCCCAACTTTTTTTTAGAAAAAACAAAACGCCACAGGAGAGGCTGAATTCTTACTATTTTTGTGAGGAAATTAGAAAATCACTTTTTTTTTCTTTTTAAGTTCTTTGAATCAAACATAGTGTAAAGGGATTAAGGCAATAACATTTGAAAATTGGGGTTACAAGATAAAGACTGATGCATGCTTTTATTAAAAAAAAGGAATCCAAGGGGATCAGCATGAGCTAGGTTAACAATGGCTTATAGGAACCAATAGACAAGTTTTGTACAATGTTGTTGGGAGCAAAATTTCTATTCCTAAGCACAAAGTCATCCTTTGATTGATATGTAGAGACTTCAAACAAAGAGTAGAATTGATAGATATATGTTTATTAGACCCGACAAAACGATTGGTCGGGTATGGTTTGGATTTGGTATTATCAAATTGGATTATTTCGGGTTCGGGTCGCTTTGAATTCGAGTTTAAGAGTGCTTGTTCATGATATAGAGTTATCGCGTTTGAATTGATCCAACTGGTTACGAGGCGTATATAAAATTAAAATTTATGCTATTTAGAGATGAAGTGATCCACGCATTATTCAAAACAAAGAATGAAATTATAAAAGCTTGTAGATCTATTTGCAACATACTTAAAAAAAATTGCAATATACCTAAAAAATCAACTTCTTTGCAGCATATCAAGAAACTTACACTAGATAAAAACAGAAGATTCTTTCAACATACCCAATAATATATGTACTCCGTACATTATAACAAAATTGAGTTTCTTGCTACGTACCAAAATAAAAATTTGTAATAGATGAAGTGAGAGAGAGAGAGGGAGGAAGGGAGAGAAAGGGAGGAGAGAGAGAGAGAGAGAGAGCCTTAATTAAGTACAAACGATAATGTATATTAGTATAAAGATAATTTTAATATATTACACTTGTTTTGAACTGTCAATTGGATGAATACTCTAGGACGGAAAGAGTTTTTTTGGAGCCTATTGTTATGGCAATGGAGAAGCAGAAACCAAAGTATCTATAAAGGAAATCTGATACCAGCTAAAGATGTTTTCTTATGGATTCAGTCACATGCTTGCATTTTTTAAATGGTACAGGTGTTAATATAAGGTGATTAGGTAGTTGTGGTTTAATGTATTGTTATGATGCCGATTGTTATGGGTTATATTGTTTCATTTTGGTTCAAAAAAAGATAATCGATTACTAACCTCAAAGGAAACAAGATACCGTTGAGGCACTGGCACGGCATGAGAAGCCGCATGAGATTGAGCTGGCACAATAGGATGAGGCACAGGAAGAGCAACCTGAAAAGATAACTGCTCTATAAGCTTGATTAAGTTTTTATAATTAATGCAAATGTAGAACAACATATTTTCAAACAAGCAAATATTAATAGTTTTGAGCATTGGATAATTTGGAAAAATATTCTAGAAAAATATTTTATTTCTATTAACTGCTTTCATAGTTTCATATTTCATATACCAACAAACATGACCACATCTATACACAAAAATGTCGATCCAACTCATAACTGATTTCTCTTTCTTTTTGTTCATTTCTTTTTCAAGTGAGTCGCTCATAGGAATTTCTTGAATTTGTGAAGTGAAATCAGACAAAACTTTTTTTTATTATCTATGGAGCACTATTTGATATTGAGCTTGGGTGCATGCACGTGTGATGCGTCTTTTTTCATACTCTTTAAGTTTAGCCTCCTACATGTGGGCGCCATGGGGAAGATGATGGTGATGGAGTCATGATTCCAAATTATTGGTGAAGCCCATTAAAGACGAGGGGCTTTTTCTTGGTTGCTTTACGAGAAGGTTCTCGAAGTTGTAGGACGTGCAAGAGCTCATCTCTATATAGAGTTTGCCTTGAGATTTGAGAACTCATCTCTCATTACAAGTTCGGGTCCTCAAGTTTCAGAACAACTCCAATAAGAGCACCTAAGTTGTTTCGTTTGTAAAATTGATAATTATTATCCAACTACAGCTCTATGCTCCCCACCGCTGTCCCCACACACCCCCCCCCCCAATTCCTGATTGCCACATACGTTACTTAAATTGGGATTGTCATATAATGACATTATGGATTGTTGTAAAAAATGTACATCATTCGTATTTGTGTAAACAAAAGGTTTGTCTTATTTATATCAATTTGCTCAATGTTTTAATGGTGTAATGGTTTTGGATATCCCCACTAGCAACCACTACATCAGAACTAAAGATGTACCGACAATGCAGAAAGCATGGGTCATATAGTAAGAACGTCGCGTATTTTGACCTGGGCATTGGAGTTTATTCAAAATTATATATCTTGGAAGAAATTTGTAAGTTTTATCTGTTTCTACTCCTAGTAAAAAAAGATATTATTTTTTTACTTAAATTCCTGATTATGAATATAATTAATATTGAACCTTACTCCCCAAAATTTTTGCGATGGTTGAGATTATAGAAGGGTTTGGTATTAAAAATAGTTAATACACTATATTACCCATTATGTCATTCACACATTTTATGCATTTTCCTAATCATCTTCCACTGTAGTGCTATAGGTTATGCTCAAAACACGGAAATGGTAGTGAGAAAAATGGATAATGTTAATTTTGCAAAATAAGGAAAATCAGATTTGAACCTTGTCATATATTGGCATTTTAGAGTATGAGCACAAAAAAATTATGGTTGATGAGGAATTGCAAGAAAGCAGTTTTTACTTACTCTAAATGTCAATTTGAACCTAAACTAATAAAATAAAAGATTAAAACAAATACGAGGAATTGCGAGAGCAATTTTTACCTTTTCAAAGTGCCATTTTGAACTTGAAGTAATGAAATAATAGATTTACAAGTAACTGAGTTGCTGATTCTTCAACGGAGGTGATAGCTATCCGTGATTATCAATGGAAAAAAGTGAAGGCTTCTTCTTCTTCCCGCGCAGGAACACTGCCCCGTTCATTTTCCATTCCTCTCTCCATGATGACTTTGCATCTCCCGTGTGGGAGGCACAATGCACAGCCTTATCAGAGGCAACCCAAAGTTACTTCAAGGAGACGGGGCGAATTGACGTTTGAGATGTGACACCAAACGTGCGCCTTTTTCACTTCAGGGGTGGATCACCCAACATTATTGAAGATTGAGACAAAAAATCACTTACAAAGTACCCTTAATTTTCTAGTAATAACTCTCAGTCCTACACATTATTTGATTTACATTTTGGGCTACCCTCCTTAATCCAATATTTTTAACCAAGATCTATATTTCCCTCCAAATGTGTTGCTTCCAACTTGGACATCTTTGATGGAGTCCTTGGAAAGAAATACCTCTTACACTTTCTTCAATTTGGAATTAACAAAGCAATTATTAGGAGAATAGACATATGGGGTCACCCCCTTCAATAACACGCGACATTTAAACGAACGACTAGACTTTGCATGGCTTCCGACCAATCTCAAAGCGTCTATCAAAAACACGATAAAATCATTGAGTTCCTATGATACCAAACCTATTTTGGATATCAATACACAAGAAAACCACCCCATTTTAGCTTATGGGGCATCAATGGTGTAAACACTACTCCAACTAAAATGTTGTCGAGTACGAAAACTATTTCAATCTGAGCTCGAAAGTCAGTTCAAATCTCAATATTACGGACACAATGTAGCAAACATGTAGGTTAATGTTTTTTCATAGTTAACTACATGTTGGTTGTAATGCCCCAAAAACATTGAGATCTAAACTAATTTTTTAACCTAAGTTAAAATTGTTTTAATACTCGACAACATCATGATTACAGCCGTGTTTACTCTATTGACACTGCAAACACTGAAATAAAATGATTCTCATTTCTTGATACTTAAGATGTATCTGGCATCATAGGGAACTAACTATTTTATTGCGCATTTGGTGGACGCTTTAAGATAGGCAAAAGCCAAGCAAAGTCCAATTATCCGATGAAATGCAATCTATAGCTGAAAGGTTCTGACCCTATGTCGATGCTCTTTATGGTCGCTTTGATAAAATTCCAAATCTAAGTGGAAGGGGTATTGTTCTAAAGAACTACATCAAAAATGTTTAAGTTCAAAACAAGGTGTTTAGAAGGAAATTAGAAGCTTGATTGAAAATGTTGGGTTAACATGAGTATTTTAGGCAATTGACAATTCACTTCTTATAGAGATATACGGACATATTTCCTTTGGATAATTTTGATGAATTTTAAGCATCTTTGAAGTATATTTTGAATAGAACGGGTTTTAAAAATTTTAGTACAAAACACGAGGTACTCTGAAGTAATTTTTAAAGTAAAATATCTTCAATTCTAGATTAAAAAAATAAAATGCAATTTAAAATGAAAGATAATGAAAATATATATATAGATAAATGATTACTCACCAAAAACACAATAGAAAACGATTGACCACACACAAGAGAACTAGGAGCGGAGAAACTGGGAGCCGAAGAACCAGCCGCACAAAGAACAAGCGCACAAACAAGAATAGTGTAAAAAAACATCTTTAAAGCACAAATAATTTTTACAATTAATGAAATTGTAAACTAACATAATTTTGAACAAGCAAATATTTATGGTTTTGAACAAATAATTTGGAAAAACAATCTAGAAAAATATTTATTAAACGTAGCATTAGTTTAATATCACAAAAAGCATGACTGCATCATAAAAAATGTCGACCTAGAATAGTTCTCACAACTACATATCCCTAAATTGTCTCAAATAAGAGACTTGACTTAGACTTTAAGAAGAGTAGGACCCCATACGGACATATATCAACCTCTCTCAGTTCATACTTTAAGAAAATAAGTTTATGAATTTCAGCGGTAAAGGATTTGCGTCAAAACCCACACATCGAACCAAGTAATAACACTAGTCGCTCACATTCTTAACAAACAAGCATTTATCAATCCAAAACAGAACCCTAAATTCAAAACTCATAAATCGCAATTTCAGAGTCAAAATAACACAAGAACCCTAAATTCAAGTTGTAATTCGAGCAAGGTGGCTTCGGATCTAAACTGGATGCTAGAACCTAGAGGATCAACTCACGATTTCAGAATCACGCACAAATCATTCAAATTAAACACGTAAAAGCTTCAAATCAACAAGTATAGAACTATAATTCAGAGGTTTGAGCCGTATACCTATCAATCGCAGAAGAACTAGACACAACAACGCTGCCCTAGGACGTGTGATGCCCGTCCGGCGCAAGCTCTCGTCCTCCTCTCTCGGAATCTGTGATTCGTGAGGTGTCACGCGCAGGGAGTCGCCGGCGATGGTGTGATTTGTCACCCGCGACCCCTTCTCTCTCTCTTTCTCTCGTTTCTTCTCTCTTCCTCTTTCACCGTCTGTCGCGTAAAAGATAAGCGAAAATGTATTAGAGAGGTAGTGTACCATGTACCCCACCCATCTATCTACCATTCATTTTTATTTATTTATTTCTTGTTTAATTTATTTACCAATATATGTGGGATTGGAGGGGTGGTGTACATTTGAGGTACACTTTTGGTGTATCCCAAACATTTTTCTTAGTTTTATCTTTAAATTTGTTTCAAACCCAAAAATGTGACTTTGGATCTAAGTTTACCCATTTGAATATCTACTTGGCTCAATTATCACCTAATTCTATCCAAAACTCACCCTTATGTATATTTTATATTTTTTATGCATAAAAAGAGTCTTTTTGGGTATAAAAATATTTCAAGTCTGAACAACTATATTTTGTAAAGTTCTTTTGTAAACAACTATTTTTTCTAAAAAAAAAGTATAAAAAATATTTCTTTAAAAGTATATAAAATCTAACCTTTTAAGCTTCAACCTTAAAATTTCTTAATCTTTGTACTAAATTAAACCAGAAAAAAAAATATAGAACAAAGAAGTGCATACAGAGTATTAAATGTACATAGCAACAAAAGGTAAGTAAAAAAATAACTCGAAATTATAGAAGTAAATATAGGGAATGAATTCACCTCAACCATATCATACAATGTTAAACCATGCTAGGGTGCCACTACATGGGTGCACCCATGTGGTGGCACCCTAGCATTTTCCTATTAGGTATGCTTTATTGAAGATAAAAGTGTACTTGGTCAACAAGGTAAAGCACTGCATTGATTCTTATATTTAGGAGGGAGCAATAGTGAATTGTCCCTTTCACATAGCTGTAACATGTAGCTATAAGCTATCCCACGCAACAGAACTATTACCAACCATACAAGTGTACCACAAGTTGTATTTCAAGGAGATGCGTCAACATTTTAACAGTTCAAACTGACACAAAATTTTATTTCAATCCAAAAAATTCACACTGACATTTTATTTAAGTATAAATCATCACACTAACACAAAACGTTAGGGCATACCTTGGCGGTACACAAGAGTAAATTCCATAAAAGGTCCTCAGTTATAGGTCGTTTTACATATTTAGTCCCTACATATCAAATATTACAAATTTAGTCCCCAATTCTTATGTTCATTTCCACGAATGGTCCTTTGTTAACATTTCCTTTAAAAACGTGGATAAAATTATAAATTCACACTCTTTTCTCTCCCCAATTAATTTTCTTCTCTCCCCTCGTGCTCCTTTCCCAAACCCGTCGTTGAATTTGAAGCTTTGAACCCAAAATCGAAATTATCACTCTTCTCTCAATTATTTGTCGAACTGGTGGAACCCAAATTCGAAGCCAATAACCTTCATGGATGAGTTTAACGTTTATTTTCTTTGTAATTTTTTGAGACTAACAGATAAAACTCATCCATAAAGCTTATTGAAAGAGGAGTGATCATTTTTAGTTTTGGGTTTAGAGCTTCAAACTCAACGACGAGTTTGAGAAAGAGTACGAGAGGAGGGATGAAGCTTAATTGAGAAAAGAGAGAAGTATGAATATATAATTTTATCAATGTTCTTAACAAAAACGTTACAAAGGACCATTCGTGAAAAATGATATAATAATTGGGGACTAAATTAGTAATATTTGATATATAGGGACTAAATATGTAAAACGACCTATAACTGGGGACCTTTTATGGAATTTACTCTATAAATAACTTACTTCTTACTCGTAACGGTCTTGGTAACCGTTTGACCGGATTTGAAAGTCAGAAAGAGACTTATCCTTTAGAATTACAAAAATACTCTGTATTAAGAGACGCTAAAATGATGACATTGTTTTTATTACAAGTAATACACGAATAAACATAGAAAATAAAATTTACGTGTGCCCAAATTTTTATTTTTTGTGTGTATGTAAAATGTTTGAGGTCCAATTGAGGTCACCATTTTGGGTACCCCACAGCATTGATCATAACCGTTGAATTTTTAATCATTTTTAATTTTTTCATTCCACACTTGAGATTGTGTGATGAAGATGAAGTGGTGTACACTTGAGATACACTTTTTGGTGTACCACTATTATTTTTCTTTTATCGCTTTTTATTTAAAAATACCTTTTTTCGCCCATTTTGTGAAATATCTCTCCTGTGTTTGTGGGGAGAGACATTAAAAAACTGTACCTCAAATTGTTAGGTGTACTCAAAAACTGTACTTCAATATGTACACCAAAAATTTACATTTACATTTTGATATTTTATATTGATACAAAATGTCAGTACGATCACAAAATTTTTCACTAACATTTTGTGTCATGTAAACTATAAATCTCGCAATTACATTAACACAGAATGTAAGTCTAACTTTTAGAACACATTTTGATGTACAATTTTTGGAGTAGAAATAGATTTATTCAACCACATTGCAAATATTTATTTATCCACACTTATAATGCATAGTCGTAAACGAGAAAAATAGTCAATATTTTCTTTATTTTCCCTGTTTATAAATAAAAGATTAATTTATATTCTTCAATAATAATCTAATATAACCATGCGGGGTAGCTCTCTCTTTTTTCTCCGCCTACATCACCCAGGCTCAAACAAAAACTTTCAAATTTGAGGATATCTAGGGAATGCTATGAATGTGACAAAATATACATTGAGTTAGATTAGTTCATTACAGCAAAAACAGAGTAAGATTTTATATCTTACAAAAAGCCATATTTAGACATGGTTTTGGTGTTCTGGATGAAGCCAAGTTTCCAGTCGCCCACCCCAAAACGAGATTTGGCCGATTCAGACACACCATAAAACCAAAATGTAGAGGTACCTAGTGGGTAGAACATCCAAAAAAACTAGGATTCTACAAAGCAGAAACAACTGCGAAAAACAGTCATACGGTTCACCTCTTGTACTGAAACTTCACCTTCACTAAGAACTGCAGCTTGACCTGAATAAACAATGAATTATAATCTGTAAGGATTCTGTGCTTCAATGTGTTTCAATGCATGCTTCTATATGTATAGTTTACTACAGTAGAATGTATGCTTTTTGCCAAAAAAAAGTTACAAGCAAGTTATATATGACAGTTTGGTTACACCAGATAATTTTTTAATGGTCCTCTATATTTCGGGATATTCCAAATTTAGTCCACCACTTTGTGAAATTCCATTGGAGACTTAGAGGCCCAATTTAATTGTGAGCAATGCCAGTTTTAGTTCTCTTTCCATCAAATGTCCTCAAAACAATACACACTAACAAAGGACTAAAAGTAGCAATTGTATGCTTTTATGCTTTGGGTCTAGTTCCCCTTGTGTTAGTTTGTGTGTTTCATGTCTTTGTGCTTCAACTTTGCTCGTGCTATTGTATTAATGTATTTGCTCTGTTACTTTGTTAACTATGTGTGTTTGTATTTGAGTCAAGGAGGATCTCTTAGAAAAAGTCTATCAACTTCCGGGTCCGGGTAGGGGTAATGTCTGCACACATCCTCCTTAGACCCTACTTTTGTAGGAAGGTTTGTAAGTGGTGGTCGTGTTTAATAACACAGAAAACTAAAACTTGAAAAAATGTTAACAATTAATGTGAACCACCAATGAACTTCATTAAGTAATTGACTAGAGACTAAATGCAGAATATCCTTAATTATAGTGGACCATTTGTGGAACTTACTCTTTTTTTAAAAATGATTTGATAACTTTTAACATTTCTACCTTGCCAAAATTAACAAGTTGCACCTTTGAACAAAGGCAAAACATGACTCCTTATTTGGGGGGGATGAATGGAGCCATTTATACACAGAAACATGTAAATAACATATCAGAATGCTTGCCTGTGCAGCATCATAGACAATATATTCATTGTATAGAAGCTCTGATCCCTTCACTTTTGATGGCACCGGTTTTCCACAAGGCACAACTACTTCACCCCTCCACTTGGCATAGTCAGATTCTTCGGGTACTGTCATGCCAAGACCTTTTGTGGAATGTTTCCCTCTTGGGGGCTTGTCCATGTACTAGATTCAAGCAAAAAAAGAAAAAGAAATCACAGGGCTACAAAGTAAAAACTCAAGAAAGTGATACACAAGCAAGCATGTAAGAATCAATAAAAATGAGGAACAATGAATCAATGATGCTCCTTCCGTCCCATAAAGAACTATATTGTTTGATATTACGGAGTTAAAGAAAAGTATTGAAAAGTGAAAAGTGTGTGGGTGAAATTTGTTAAGAACAGATCAATTTTATAAGCCACATACTTCTTACCTTTTGAGCAAGTGTGAAGTTTTTTGGGACATCCAAATAAGATAAATATGAAGTTCTTTGTGGGATAGAGGGAATAGATAATAAGATAGATAGATATAGATCCATGGATAGATAGACATACTTGAGCATTTTTTAGCTCATAGATATTTCCCAAAGCAACTTCACTGAGCAGCATAAAGCCCACAGGATTATTCCGGTTTGTGAAACAATACTGAGCACTCTTACTGACCATGTCAGCAAAGTAAATTCCCTTGCCAAACTGCAGGTCATAATATTATTAAGAAGCTCAGTGCATAGCCTATAATATATAGTTTTTTCATATGTCTAAAAGGGGTAGGGATAACCAGACATGTCAAGTGTAAATAGAGTGCAAGAAAAAGAGAATAGAATGGTGGAAGCAGACCATATATCCAGTAGTTGGGGCTTCTGGAGGAGCAATCCTTAGTCCTTGGCTAAGAATGCCCACAAAATTTGTCAGCCGTGAACCTGGAAGTTTTTTTATAAACAAGTACCCTGTTACATTTCACTTCTATTTATGTCTGAGACTTGAAATGAATATATCTTGGAAAGATTTGACAAGTACCATGCCATAAAAGCATTCTATTCTTTAATTTATTTCTCAAAGGAGCAAACTTGTCGAATTCCCCTTTTCGTTCTAGAGAAAACACTTCTAGCACTTCGAGAGACCAGTCCTGAGGAAAACAAAAAAAACAATCTTCTATTTATTTCATTCCCATTATATGTTATACTCATCAGTTAGATCAAATTTATTAGAAACAAATGGAATGGAAAAGACACAACAGAGGTTTGCAAACGTAGCAAAACATATTTCATCGACAAATAACAAAAAAATAGGCAAAGGTATTCTACTCCGTAAGAAAGATAATGTAAAGCATCTAAAGCCACCTTATGAGTGGGAGCATGAGTAGATTGGAGATACTTCTCAACCAAATGGTAATCTTCACAGTCATGAGGAATAGGAGAAATTTCACATCGTAGTTTTTCATACTTCTCATCCAGGGAAGAATTATCATCACCACCAAGTCCTACAAGTCTTGAAGCAATCTCAATATCTTGAAGAGCTTCCAGCATTTTCACCTATAAAAAGCAAATGTAGATGTTTACAGCAACTTGGATCATCTTTAGGAGATAAAAACAACCATTTGCCACCAATTTACAGGTAATAAATATGTTGGACAGTTGGAGTAATATGGAAGTATCCCACAACTAATATTGGTTTCAGGATTTTTTTGATTTGAATGTTATCGGTTTCAGGAATTAAAATTGAAAGTTGCACTTAAAAAATGATATTCTTTCAACTGGTTTAGAAGGTATTCGAATCTTAGTTGTACATGTCACATTGTCACATGTGTAATTAGTTTGATAGAGCAAATCACAACTTCACAATTGTAGTTCACCTTTGATTTGAAATCATCCTCATCCTTGATCACATGCGGATGAATTGAAGGAATCATGGTAAAGAAACGGTTGCTTGCATCAATTAAGAGATTCTCCTTGAAAGCAGGATCAACATTGTTCTTTATTAGCAAATTTTGAATCTCCGTTAATGCCTCAAAACCTAAAGACACCATAATATCCCACTACAAAAGTCAGTCTCCCAAGCAAAATGGTGCACTTAAATGCATAAACAAAAATAATATACATGAAAAATCCGTAAAAAAGACTATTCAGTTAAGGGAAGTGAAATTACTTAACCTTTTTGTATATTATTCTTGCTCAGCTTTCCTAGTGGCATTTCAGACAAATTGATCTGGAACTCCATCATAGCAGCCCTGTAAACAATCAATTCACTCAGACGCATTCTCCATATTCTAGAAGCCAGGAAAATTTAATGCTCTTCTGACCTGTATGTCTCTGTGTTAAAAAGCAATTTCAACAATTCAATTAGTTGAGGCACCAATTTGCTATTTGTGTAGTCAAGGTTTTTCTGCTTTGAAGCACTTTTATCAACTCCATAATCCTGGATAGTCAAAACCATACTCCATGTAAGTTGAGTGTAGGGAGAATTCATCCTTCATATTTCAATTAAAGTCAAAGTGGTAACTGCCATACAATGTCTAATGGATAAAATCTGCCAGGTTGCTTCTGAAAATCTACTTTTCCTTCCCATGCTTCCCATGAATTGCCAGTCTTCTCAAGAAACAAGCGCTCGAAATTTGATATGGCATCTGACTTTGGCATGTTATCAAGTTTGATTCCTCCAATTTTTTCATTTCCGACACGTCCCCATTTTCTGAACACATAGCAATCTGATCCTTTGTCTTCCTCAATGATTTGAAGAATATAGTAACTTCAGACAGCCAAAATAAGAGGAAAACAGAAAAAGTAACATTGTCAAATGATATTAACTTGCATTAAATTTTAGGTTTAGAAAGTGTTAAGTAGTGCATTGAGAATTAATCAGTGGCTAGCACAGAAGATTGTTTCACAATATGTGATAAGTTGCAAGATTGGTTTCGCAGTATCATTCTTTTTTTTAATAGCAGCATTCACTCCATTCAGTTTTGACATGCAATAAATATAACAGGAAAAAAACTTTTCTTCCAATTCTACAACAAAACAGAGGATCACAATAATGGTAAAGGCCACTAGGGCAGTAGATGTTGGTTTTTACTTTAAAAGCATGATAGCAAAGAGAACTTTCAGTACAAAGTAAAAAACATGGCAGAACTAGAATTACCTATTGATACCAGATGCAAGATCAGACATACTTAAAGTTGTATTATAGATGCTATTTCCAGCCTCGAGGATATGCCCAGAGTCTTGTAAACCAGATGACTCATGTACAGCACTCCTCCCTTTCACTTTGACAGTAACCACACTATGTGTCTCTCCAATTGCTTCTACTTTGTACATATCAAAAGGAAGTTTTTTCTTCCTCTTAAAGCAGTCCACTAAATAATCCTCCCGAACAATAGGCAGTTTCATCCTCCTGTCAAAGATACAATAATGGTTTAAGTATTGAACATAATCAATGAGTATGCTTTGGCCAATAACAAGGGGAGCTTTACCTTGCCTTCTTTATCTCAGCATCACTGCTCTCCAGCGTTCCACTCACAACTAAGCAGCTTGTGTCTGTAGCACAAGCACAGAAGAAGGCTTTGCTCGTGAATGATCAAAAAATAAGTATTTTGATAAAAATTGGAAGAATTATTGCATACCTTTCTTTATCTTGGCATGAACTAGAGCACCTGCTTCCTCAACTTTTTTCTTCCACTCCGACTGCAAAAATCACATAACAAAATTTGTGATGGGCATTCTTAAATGGTTATTAAAATTGGAAAGGAAAAACTAAAAGGTCTTTTGAAAAACAATATGACATAGAAACTGAGAGCATTTGAAAATTACTAACCATAGAGTCACTGCCCATTCCTGCAAAAGCTACTTTTAGGTCTCCTAAATTATCACCTTCAATTGACTCGCCCATTTTGTTCATAGCTTTGCTGGTAGATGGTGAGGTGCATGAAGATGGCGGCATTATTCTAGCTATCTTCTTTGTCTTTTGTGACTTATACCACTGAGAATGATCAAAGAAACTTTAAGGAATAAGGACACACCAAAATAACAGTAGAAGACATTAAATTTGGACCATGCACTTGTAAAGCCAGGTTTTGTTCCTCTACAGTTCATATGGCATTATTTTCTCCAAAATAATAGCATCGACAAAGTTTAAATACAACAACACAACCCAGTTGAATCCCACAAGAGTAGGGTCACGCAAACCTTACCCCTATCCCAAAGAGACCCCAGCTCAGCGTTGAAAGTTGCATCAATTGACTAACTGCTACTTCATCGACAGATTTTAAATATTTCACATTTATAGGAGTATAAATTTATTTCATTAGTTTACAACAACTCAATGGGAATTCATTATTAGTTACAGTTTCTTGTGGTTATATATATTTTTGACATCACGTATTGGTACTTATTAAATTGAATACCTTGAGTAGATACTCATTACTGGTCCCTTCAGGGATTTTCCACTTCCCATTGACACGTATTGGTTCAGTTGTAGAGTACGAGCACTTGCTCCATGCTGATGAATAGCCATGGCACTTATACTTGCCTTCTGAATAAGAAAGGTGACCAGAACAAATTGGACATCTAGTGAGCGCTCCAAAAAGCATCCCGTCAGCACTGAAAAAGAGCAGATGCAAATAAAATGGATAAGTTCAAAAAGCGGAAATGTGTATTACAAAGTATACAAACCATTTCTCACTGGAAGCAATAAAGCTAAGCATTTGACAAAAGAAAGTGGCCCAAAAGATTAGTAAACAAAAACCTTATGACACGATGCCAACAAACATTTGCAGTGATTTCACTCTTAAACATTGAATTACTTCTCCATCTTTCTATAAGATTTTTTTGTATAGCAAATTTCTAGCACCATAATCAGGAACAGTAAACACTTACTAGAGTAGATATTGAGGAACTATGCATGCATCATAATTTTAACTGCAGCTCAATTCCTAAACCTTCTAATAGGCAAGTAAAACAAACTACCATCTGTCTCGTAAATCAAGCTCCGATCCTGTGGAGGCATGGTCATTGCATTCAAGCATCTCACGTAATTCTGCTGTACTCACGTGCTTCTTCAACTCATCCTTAAGATCCCATAGAGCTTTGGTTTGTGCCTTTAGTTCGCTTTCCCATTCAGATGTTTTTTTCTCAACATCACTTGCAAAAGCTTCGGGTTCAGTTTTAGCAAGCTTTGATTTCTGGTCATTGTTGCTGGATTGCTTTCTTTTAGCACTCGTTGTAGGTGTGGATTCTTGTAAAAGTTCATCTTTGGAAACTGCAATTCGGACAGAAGATAAAACAAGCACACTAAGATAAAGGAAATGAGAAGGTAGGCAATGGGCAAAATGAATTTCAATGCACCTTTTACAGTAGAATTCTTAACAAGGGAGCAAACAGCTGTCTGATCACTGGCAGGAAGGATCTCCCATCCCGGAAATTTATCAACTTGGGTATCAGGAGACATATCCACGAAACATTTCGCATGGTGCCATGCCAAAGACCTAGCTGCCTGACCTTTAGCCTTTGATGAGATGCGGACCTATTCCACAAATACATACATACCTTTAAACCACAATGAACCAACTACCAAATTGGTCAAAGTGTTTGCTTAGCCGTCCATGAGTCCATCAATGAAAAATGAAACAACATTTTTGAAATAATCACTTTGCATTTTTTCATGTAGGTGTGCAGATATACTCATTTTAACGTGAAACTTCAATGCAGTAAGAAAATAAAAAATATGCCTTGGAAGTTGGAACATTTCCTAGTGAGCAAGTGACCTTCATAAAATGAACAGTCATTTAAAGGTGCCATGATCATTGATCACTACATACTTACATGACAACAAGACAAACCTTTAATACATTATGCGACATGCGTGTGCCTTTGGAACAAAATATTCCAGTGTATAAAAAAGGCTTTCCATCCTAATCTACTCACTGAAGAGCACATTAGAACTTCCAATAAATGTAGCATGCACCAGAATTTGTCAAGAACTGTTAATGAATATAAGAACTGACCTCTCCTTTCATAATCTTTGCATTGCAGCACTTACAGGTAGCACGAGAAGTTGGAGAGGTTTCGACACCATATTCCATTGCAACTAGGCTAGGGGCACTTGAGGACTCATCACTCTCTACATATTTCCTAATCTTCTCTTGATCCTCCCAACGAAGTGATTCTAATCCTTCAACATCATCAGTGCTAAAAACATAATAAAGAAAATCAAATTTAAATTGCCAAAACATGTAAATAGTACCGTACAACTTTCTTTTCTATGGTGACAAAAGTCACAAAACCAAGACCAAAGTAGGGAGCAGAACGCGTACGTTTTTATCTGTTTTGCCTTTCGTAGGATGCAGCTAGCATGATTCCACATCTAAATCCATGAATAAAAACAAATTAGACACAATGTACTAAAAAACTAAATACAGCTGTCAGAAGAAAAATCATAAGTGGAATTGATGTGTTGCTCCCTATAAAGAATGGTTCTTGGAAAGAAGCATTAGTCCTAAAAAATGTATACTCTGTATCTGCTTTGGGAACTAGGCTTCTGCCTAACAGACCTTGTAGAGAGCACTTAGCACCTATTTTATCCCATGATTAGGGAATAACATCTCCTAATACAACATGTCCACCACAATCTATATAATCCCTCGTCCCACAATGAATGTTACGCTTTCCTTTTTCATCCCAGGAAAAAAAAAAATTTACAGTCCTCTATGTGGCTCACCAGCTTTTCTCCATCCTCTAGACAAATTTTAACCGCGCCCTTTTTACTTTTCAACACATTTCTTGACGAATTCAAAATGTTCTCTTTTTTTTCAAGTGAAGCATCGATTTCAATGAAACTCCATAATCACATGATACAAGTATGTAATCTCAACAGGTTCCTCAATGCTCAAACACATAATTAACAGCGCCCATGAAATCATAACAACGGATGAAGAATGGGTAACACGGGTGGGGCTTACGGGCATGAGGCCATCGAATTGGGTGGCCTGGACCATCTTGCCGAGCCTGAGCGTCTCCTTGTCAATGGGGTTCTTGCAGGTTTTGCAGGAGGATCGAGAGGACTTGGCGTACTCCGCCTTCCATGGCTTCTGAGGGTTCGCCATTTCTAATACCCTCCCCAGAAATTTCGGGTTACAGATATTCGTTTGATTCTCGGGAGCTATCTGGCTCAACTGGTGTACTACGGTACGGCCCAATGCTTAGGCGCTGTGCGGGGGAGATTCAAGAGAGAGTGAAGAGTGTTGTGAACACTTTTGCCTCCCGGGTCGGGCGAATCTTGGAATATACAGGGCTTTCCATTAGAACATCGTTATGGACTTATGGTAAAGGAAAAGGGTGACCCGAATTTGGATAATTGACTTATTGGTTGAGTAGTTTTTAATTTATAAAATGTTTATAGGTCAAATATATTTTCATGGAAATAGAATGACTTATATGATAAATAAGTCGTTTAGAAATATTCATGAATGTTGAGGGCAATTTCGTAAATAATTTGGTTAAAACAGAAAAACGAAAAAATTAACTTAAAAACAAGTAACTAAGACCTTGTTTTTTCACGTTTATAAACAGCTTATAAGCATACAGAAACATGTCATCAGCTGATTTATAAGTTAGAAATTACGTATAGACAGCTTTAATTGACTTATAAGTACAGAGAAACATCCACATTATCTCATGTTGTGGTAAGAAACACACTATCCAAATTCCAAGATTCATAGAAAAGTTCATCCATGTTCGAGTTCTAACAAAAACAGAGACATTGACTCTTTGGGTGTCATTATATCGAGATAAAATATAAACAAAATCAATAACACAAAAAAATCATCTCATGTTTCTTGCTTTTGTTGTGTGTTGCAAATATAATTAAAATTTATATGGTTTATGCGAAGTACAAGATCATCTTTTTGAGGTTTGGAGTTATGCTAGCTTTATTATTTCCATTGGCTGTCTTTCTCATTTTAAAACCACCGTAATTCTTTTGACCTTGACACAAAATTACTCGAATATGACTCGGTACTTTTAGACACTTACGATATTTCGTTTGTAAAATTGATGATTCTTATCTCTTACTCTTTTCCTTGCATCTCATCCCAACCTCATAAGTGACAAGAGGGTTGAGTTGAGGTGTGGAAAGTGCAGGAGAACATGAATCATCAAGTTTACCAATTGACCAATTGAGCACTTTTGTGTCCCAAAATGCACGGTTCATTCTCTTGTAATTTTTTTACTTTTTTATTTACTTTTAAATTTTACATCAAATTTTATCTATATAAATTTAAAAATAATTTTAGTCAAACATCGCAAATCGAATAAGAGCATTTTTTTAGACAAATGGGTATAATATGAAAAGTTCATAAAATAATATCTATTATAAAATTGAATTTAGACTTAAACATGTACTCCCACCATCAAGATGGAGAGAATATAAAGATAACGAAAATTTTAAACTAAAAAACAAAGAACTCAATGTAAAATCACTTGTGTGATTTTTTAAAATATGTAAATAATTTTTATAAAAATATGATATTTTAAAATTATTTCGAGGTAAATAAATAAACAAAATATAACACACAAGGAATGAGAAGGGTGGTTAAAAATTAGTGAAAAGGTAAATAAAAATTGTTGTATCACATAGAAGTATTTTCGTGAGATGGGAGAGAGGACGTGGAGTGTGTGGAATGTGTACAAGTCATAATCACACTAGTCACGACGGTCACCCAACTAACGGCGCCGGGGCGGAAAGCGTGAACCCGGCCCACAGAACCAGGTTACAATCCAACGATGCCGTCACGGTGAACGGTGGTTTCGTATATGAGTGAAATTGGTAAAGAAAAAACTGGCAATTGACCCGCGCTATTAATACTCTCCAGCTCCGAGCATTCACACCAATCGCCGCCCTACTCCGCATCTCCTCCGCCGCTCCGATTGGATCACCGGCAAAGGTACGCCGGCCGACGTCCATTACTCCATGTAGTCTAGGTTCTATGTTGCGCCGATCTAGCAGTATTCGTTCTAAACGATTTTCTCATCTGTGCTCGAAAGAATATGCTGTTTCGTGTTACGGACCGTAACTCCGAATCGATTGATTTTATTGATTTGTTCCCCCTTCCTGATTAGCTTACATTTGCTGTGTCTCGCAGTCAGCTGCCTAGTTTCACGCCTCTGGAATACACTCCGCCATGAATTCTCGAAGGTAACACTGCCAGCTCTTGAAACAGTTGTGTTGTTTATTTGCGGTTAAATATCTGACCATGTCTGGAATTGTGAATAAGTGAATCCGGAGCGAGATTTTTTACTATGTATTCTTCTAAGGTTCAATGAGATTTTGTTTTTTGAATTTGAGATCCCTAGATTTGGTTAAGTAGTTGTAGCTGCAAGCTTACATTTAGGAATTCTATGTTTGTCTTCTTCTTATGTAGCTAACAATGCTTGCTCGGACATTATTTGATGTCACTGATGTCAATCAATTCAATGAATAACGTTTAAAATATCTGAATTCAGGGAGCGTGGTGCTAGAGCTGCTCTATTTGATGGCATCGAGGAAGGTGGTATCAGGGCTTCGTCGTCATATTCTTCTCATGAGATTGATGAACATGAAAATGAAAAAGCACTAGATGGGCTGCAAGATAGAGTCATTCTGCTAAAAAGAGTATGCTTTCATTTCCCTACTAACTTTTCAATGATAATTTATGTTTTACTTTCTCAAATGCCTCTAATTTGAGCAAAGCTATATCTAGAACAGTCTAGCATAAAAAAAGTGCTGTATATGAATAGAAAACACTCCAACTGCATGCTTTTTTTGGACATGGGTGCAAGTTGGTTGGGTTTGATGTGAATAGGAGGCTGGAAGGGTCTAGGAAGAGTGGTGTTTTGGTTGTAGGATGATGAGAGATTTGCCTTTCTGTGGAAGTGTAACTTGTTCTTGGCCATTGATTTGTTTCTAATCTAGATTATTAGAAAATCAAACAGTTTCCTTAGTACACTTTAGTTTTTCTTATGCATTTTTCCATGTCTATATTGTTTTATCTACAGTTAGATCAAACCATTTTCACATATAGCATACTAAATGAGAAATAAGATTGAACAAGTTGTTATTACAGCTGTCAGGTGACATACACGAGGAGGTGGAGACACACAACCGCATGCTGGACAGAATGGTATTACATCAAACATTAATGTTATAGCCTAGAAAATATTCCATTTTAGGTCCCACGGCAACTAGGTCATCATCAAATTTTGCTCCCAACTTCCATTTTTTTCACTTTTGTTGCACAACCGTAAATTTCATGCCACTTTTGGTCCTTGTCATCATTCATTTGGCAAAATATTAAAAATACAGGCTAGAGAAGTTATCAAAAATGACCAAGTGAAGTGTGGGAAAAAAACTAAGTCGGAGACCAAATGTAAAAATAACGTATAGTCATATATCCTATGGTGTTATCATGTTTCATAAATTTCATTTTATTTCATGATTAGGGCAATGACATGGATTCTTCAAGGGGAGTGTTAGCTGGAACAATGGACAAATTTAAGATGGTACGTTGACCGCTCGTTTTTATCGCTCTCTCCCTCACAGCTTTAAGTATTTATATACTGAATCCCTTTGTTGTTTTGTTTTGTTTTTTAATTCTTTTTTTGCTTTAAGGTATTTGAGACCAAATCAAACCAAAGAATGTGTACGCTTGTGGCATCGTTTGTGCTTCTCTTTCTGGTGGTGTACTACCTGACTAGGTAAATGGTGTGTGACCAGAATTGGGATCTCTCTCTAATCTTCCTGTCTATATGACCACCCAAAGTGATATGAAAAAATGTGTATCTGTATAAAGTTGTTTGGTGCCAAACACTTTTTTAGTACTCTCTGGTGTGTGTTGTGGAATGGATAATGATAATGATATATAAACTTTAGAGATTGATACCTTTGTTCAAATAGGATTCAGGAGCATAAAACTCCTGTCGAGATATTTCTTTAATAATGAAAGAAATTTTGAAAAAAGAAAAGAAAAAAGGCTCATTTGGTTCTGTTTTTGAACAATGTTTTTTCGATTTTGACTCCAGATTTTTTTTGGTGTTATACTTTGATTTTGGACCCGAGGAGAATCCATTTGTCGGTTTTTTGAGGATCAGAATGGATCAAAAGCAGAAATCAAACCAAACGAGCCATAAGACCAGATTCAATTTTTTAAATTTAGATATTTGTTAATTATTTATATTGTATAGAAACTTAACAAATCCGATATAATTACGTATTACGGAGTAAAAGAAAGGCAATATTTTTTTCTCTTTGTACGTAATGCTTGAGGTAAGCTGAGGCTTAATCAGATATGATTTCTTTTAGTTAAAATGGATAATCTTTGATCATCTACTCCCTCCGTCCCCAATTTGATTATAAATTGCGGGTTACGGAGTAAAATTTCCTAGTTTTTGAAATCATTTTATTTACAAATTGGTATATCAATAAGTTATAAAAATTACATATTAAAAAACTACGTCTAAAGTTCTACAAAATAAGAGGTGACAAGAATATTTTATTTTATCAAATACTTGATGAAATTGCGTAAACAAACAAAAGTTATCGAGAGGAGAGAAAAAAAAATTGTAATCAAATTGGGGACGGAGGGAGTATTAAATAAAAATCATTTTGCATATTAATACGGAGTATAATGAAATAGTTTCATGAACATTTTTGTATGATAAGTTTAATAAAATTATTTTGTATGGAGTATATATTTTGAACTTCTCCCTTTGCTTGAATGGTATAGGAAGTTCATTCTTCAAAATTCATGGGGAAGTTCATCTAGATTTGAGTTCCAACCAAGACGGGGACATTGGTTTATCATGTTGAAAAAGTACGAACATTGATATTATATTGTAATTGAGTTAATAGCGTTCAAAATAAAATAAATAAATAAAAATATAATATATTTTTATTTTAGAACATTGATACTACTAAATTGTAATTTGTAATTGAGTTAATAGCATTCAAAAAAAATTAATAAAAATGTAACATATTTTTATTTAAATAATGTTTAAAATTTATCTAGTTTGATCTAAAAAAAATTAAGCCGAATGAATATGTGAATATAAAATTAAGTTTTCAAATGATATGGGTAATACACCATCGGAATTATCATTACATTTGATGTTTCAAACGTAAAAAATTTTCATTACCAACGCTCGGAGAGGGATAACAATTTCATAGTAACTCTGCTATAACAAATCTATCAATAAAAAAATATGAATCTCATTCTTGAGGGCCCCTTAGGACCAGTTGAACGATAACCAGAGGTGGTAAAATAAATTTTAACTAGAAATCATATGATTAGCATAGTTACATCACAACGTAATTGTCAGGAATCGAACTCAGGTATAAAATTCAAGTATTACCCATGTCCACCACTTGCCATTTGCCAACTGGCATAACAAATCCATCAATAATTAGAGTAGTGCCAACTCCACTAGGTACAAGTAGGAAAGTCTTCTACAAGGTGCATAATTGGTCGATGACCATATTTTATTCGTTATGTTCAATACTCTAAGCATAAGGTTAACAATATTTATTGACAACAATTGTACAATAATTTGATTGTAGTATTTTCTTCTTACTTTCACTTTTGGTTTGTCGTTAATGTTCTATCATTTCCTTTTCCAAAAAGACTACACAATATTTCTATCTTTTTTTAACAAGCCAAAATCACACGAGTCTATTTTTTAGTGTGTTCCAAACCGGAGTAGGAAAAAATTGGGACATAGAAGGCCTTAAAGAAATTTTATATATATATATATATATATACACACACACACACACACACACACACACACACAATACACACACACTACTGCATTATATTGAAGTCAAACCAAATTGCCTTGATTCTAAGCTCTTTCTTTCATCATCATCTTCTTTCTGCCTTTAACTACAGAAGCTAATCTTTCAAGAGAAACAACTAAAAACAGGAAACCAAAGAACGATCTCAAGGGAAACAAAATTTTCTTCTCTTGCTAACGGTTGGATTTCTACTACAGTTTTGTCAGTGAACATTAGCTAAAGATCAATTGAAACCTATCAATCTGCGCGCGGTAGTAAGAAACTAAAGCCTGAATTTTCCCGAATAAGCGGTGGCGGTTCAATGTCTGAAATATCAATCTGCTCCATAGGCTTCGAGAGATCGTCCACTGAGAATGGTATGCTGCAGCAACATACCCAACAAAACATGTGTTCGTGAAAAAAGTAATCACATGACAATTACTACGTATATCAGATATAGAGATTCGGATTCTTGGGACCATTGGTTAAATGGTTGCACTTATTCAATGGTTCACGTAGAAATATTTAAGAGGCACATAATGAGGGATATGTAAAAGGAAATGACTATATGTAGACTCCCAAATCTTACCTTGAATCATCATCCAGCAGAAAAGAACTGCTGACAGCATTGTTTGAATCTTCGGTCATTATAATCCTCATATTGGATATAACCTGTCGTAACAAACCACTGTTTGCGATCAATGAACAAATTCCTTAAAGCCAATAAAACTGTAGCATATATTTGACGATAAGTGGTTGTGAAAATAAACCAATACAACAAGCCCACAGCCACAAACATTGTTCTTAAAGCTCAATATGGATGGTGGTGTGTGGCTATAAAAATCAGACATTATGATCATATGGCCTGCTTCAATTAATGTCAACACTAAAATCTGACTTTGCCAATTGAAAACATGTTCAGATAGCTTTGGTTGTTCTTTTCAACTGGAATTTACAGAACTGAATTGAAAAGTGCACCAAAGTTGAGTAATTTAGTTTTAATGGCTATTTGAGGAGTGTTGAACCCAACTGAAAATAAGCTGAAAAGAACACACCCTATATGTGAATATCTTGGTATAAGCAACACCATTACACCATGCATGGATAATAGCAGGTCGAGCTTTGAGGGTAGAAATAATTATATGTAAAAATAGGAATAGAGAAAGAAAGGGAGAGAAATGACTAATAGATATCTTACTTCAGGTGAAAGACTATGAGTGCCATATTTATCATCCCAGTACATTGTGCTGATTCTGTACAACTGTTGAACACTAAGCACCTGCAAATGAACACATACATTGAGAAGATTAAAAAACACATAGTTGAATACATAGTTGGAAGGACTTAGTATAAAATATGCTTACGGGACATAAATCGTGGCTTATCTCATCGAAAGTCTTCTTCGGTTTCTGATGAATGACCTAATAATGCAGTACATGAAAATGATCACATATCACACGTGTTATTTACAACATATGCACTGGGGCAAGGGTGTGTAGGGGTCAAAAGAGTGATTTACCAGAAATCCTATTGCCTGTCTTATGTGTTTGAGCTCTTCCCATGCAGAACCTGCATACTGCAGAACAGTTTTTCTTATTCTAGAGAATTTGTTAAGTATCAGGTTGGGTGTCCAGCACTTATTGAGTAGTTTAATAGTCAAAACAATGCATGGCACTTCAAGAGAATACTATTGTCATAAAAACAATTGATATCAACATGCAATGGGTAAAAGAGTTACCTCATCAGTTGCTTTATAGCACCAATGTTCAAGCTCGGCAAGCCCAGCCTTGACATACTCACCATTGCTAAATGAGCAGCATTCTCGTCTTAGTAAGAGGCTGCATCAACGAGAGAGAATCATTAAAGAGTAATCAGCATGCAGAAATAGGCAACAGGCACAAACAAAAAGATGTTTAGTATGAGTCTATAATGAACCTGTTGAACAACTGGACATTGATGAAAGAGAAAACTTGTGTGAATACTTTACGAACTAGGAATGGAGGCACCTGAAAAATTTTCAGTAAGTTTAAAAGAATCAAAAAAAGAAAGAGCAGAGCATGAAAACATCAGTTAGATACAAGTTCTTACATGATTGGCTTTCAACATGTCCAAAAAGTTTGCGAGGCTTTTGACAATTCCTTGCCAGTGAGCAATAAGAATTTCTTGAGCCGCGGCATTTGCAAGGGTCCGTGCTGTTCCTTTAATCAAGCTTGCTCTTGATATCCTCGGTGCCTAGTTCATTACAATGTGGAATACTTTAACATAATGCTCAATGTTTGCTGGAGTTCTATACAATTACTTAAAATATGCAAGAACCTGAATGCATGATCCAAGCATAGGAGAAATCTCTTTCTTCAAATTATCACGAATCATTCCATAAATCTTTTCCACATAAGCTGTTAGCTGTTGCTTGAACAGAAGAGCGGGATACTTTGCTTCAACTTGGCGTAAGGTATCCACCCCACCAGGTGAATCACCATCAATGAGAGAAAGATTGACCCCTTGAGGAGTTCCACGAAAACTCTAGAAAACAAAGTAATTCTAGCTTTAATCGCCCAAAGGTTAGAGAGGGATAGATTTGTTTATAAGGTCTTGAGATAAAATAGAAAATCAATTGGACTCAAACTTTTTATGTGATTTGACTCATATACATTAGCCGGTCCAATTCTAAATTCTTCCGGTGTATGTTGAATCACAAAAGAGCATCTCCAAATTGAATGTTATTTTACCTGTGTCATTCTCCCAAAAAGAGTAGCTGATGTTGATCGTCGATGCTGTGGGGCCATCCCAGCAGCCCCACTTGCTTTTAATGTGCGTTGAAGCAGAAGCAACAAAGTTGATGCATTGGACAACCAATAAGCTAAAATATCATTGTTATCCTGAGTCTGCAATTCAGAAATGTGTGTCAAGGGATCGATACAAACCAAATATATAAAGCATTGATCTTTAGGATGAAGGTCCAAATCTTCATAAACACCAGTTCAAGTTTTGAAAAGACTCCAAGTATATCAATTCAAGCCTTTTTTGCACCAATATTTACTCTTTTAATTCCTACCTCAATAGCTTGGCCAATGGTTTGTATTATCCTGTCAAAGATACTGGTCCTCTCAACTTCAAATGACCGCCACTGCCTAAGACATTTGTAGATAATGCAAGCAGCAACAGGCCTGCCCTTGGAAAAGCCCAAATGTTGTGCGACACAGCGGATGAGCAAGTCTTGATACTCTTGTTGTTTCTCGTTAAGGGATTTTTGCGGTCTTCCCTCAACCTCATGACCATCTCTTGCATTCAGCGAAGAACTATGAAGATCCTGTAATTATTTCCACAATTATTAGTCACTGACCAATGTGTTGGGTGGTGATATGTAATAAAGCATATAATCAACTATATAACTTACTAAGGTACTAATAGTACTTTTTGTGCTTTCAGTTCTCTGCATGCAGTGGAAAAAGAAAAGGACAGATAAATAAGTAACTGATAGAATTTGATGTCCAAAAGGAAATAAATTTGTACAGATGTGAGAGAATACCTGAATGATTGACCTTGAGCGGACTGACTGTAATTTAGTACTTTGTGCCATTGCTAGAGCTTGCTGGCGAAGGACTTTATTTTCTGACTCTATGTTGGCCATCTTCTCTTCAAGCCTATATGCAAAGGTCAATAATCACATTAACAGTGCAATAAAAGTATTCATGAATGCAGGGCTGTCTTGTTGGTGCAAGGAAAACTCTATCTGGTGTCAAGTTGAATTGTGTTCATTATAATCAGGGGCAATGACAAAGAGGAAATGACCAGTCTGCTGTTTAAAGAAATTTTTCACTTTCCTTTGCATTTTCAAACTGTTTCTTCAAATATATATCAAAAAATGTAAGAAAACAACTTTCAACAACAGTAATAACAACAATCCAGTATAATCCCAACTCACTTGGGACCTGGGGTCAATATGTACACAACCTTACCCCCGTACATAATTACAGAGAGGATTTTTGGTTAGACCCTTGATTTGCTGCATTGTTGTATACTTTGTATTTACTGCCCCAAACTTCATAGAAAATAAGAAGCAGGGGAAGTTGACTGTGACATTTTGATTTAGTCCATTATCGCCTGAGTCTAAAACATGGTCGAAAATGACTCTTTTAACTCCTGAGCATATTTCTTCCTTTCCCTGGCATCTTCCGGGATCCAAAGTTCCAAACATACTCTATAGATGGTGAGTGTTGTTTTCCAAATATACAGCTCATTATGAAGTCAAATCATGATAGATAGCCTGATTGTCTATGCAAAACTTAGGATTAGTTGACAAAAACAAAAATTACCTTGTGAGTGATTCCTGAAGTTGTTGAACTCTTTTTTCAGTTTCTTCCAACTTCAGGTCCTTTTCTTCACTTGATTTTAACGCTTCTGCACACTTACTCTCGGAATCATCTCCCCGTTGTCTTTCTGATTGTAATTGGACCTATCAAGAAGTACCAACAGACAAATAATCACATATGAGTTTAGAAAGGTAAACAAACATGTTTAGTCTTTATATTTTTAAAAGAGGGTCGAACTATGGTCATCAACTGACCTTCAAATTTTCAACTTCTGCAGTCAAAGAATCAATCTTTTCTGTATCCTCAACAGGGACAGGTGTCTCTTTGACAATTGAAGATGCTTCTTCGATAGCTTTCTTTGCAGCTTCCCGTTCATTGATTAAGAGTGCATTTGTTTCTTCCACTTTACTTTGTGATGCTTGCAGCGCATTCTGCAGCTTTGCAATTTCTTGGCCCTTTGCTTCTTCCAAATCTGTCTGCAAAAAGTAGTTAATTTCGTTAAAAGGCTGAAATATATACTCAAGAGTCAATATCAGTCGTCCACGTGATGACTGTAAATTACCCTTAGTCTTTTCTCCAGCTGCACACGCCAAGTAAGCTCTTCAACCATTTTTTCAAGCTTATCCTTTGCTTCTTTAAGTGCACCCGTTTCTCTTGAAGCCTGAAGGTACATGAAAACACCCAAGTATTTAGGAAGCTCAAGTAATGAGCTTATTTACTTATTTATTACGGAGTATTTTATTTGTTTATATCAATAAAAATTGCATAGCTTTTTAAAAGCGAATCTATGATTAAGATGACTGAGATTTTACAATTAAATATTTAAAAGAAATTATATTAATTGCGACCTAGTGAGATCCCAGGGCAAGTAGCTAATTTGGGGTCTTTGACAAGGGAAGATTATGTTTTAAGCACCCAATGATCAATCATTTCATACACAGCCTGATTGTCCACTGCAAGTGAAATATTTTAAGTCTTGCTTCAAAATATATTAACGAGTCATATTGGTTTCTAAGGCCTTGAGCTACACTAAATAACCAGAACATTCATATATGCATGGGTGAATCTACCCTTGGCCCATCAGTGCTCCAGCCCAAACCTCCCAGTTTTGAAATTTGAAATATATCTATACAATGCAAAACATAATGGGATTTGTATTAGTTGTCAAATTCATATCCTACCATCTTTAGTTTTCGAAGCTCTCTCCTTGCAACCCTTCCCCTCCATCTGCATTGTGTCACAATTGTTGCTCTTATGAGTTTCTTGTAGTATGAAAAGGCTTTATGACCGTGCCAATGTGCCTGCACAATTAGCCACTAATTCATAAATTTGAAAACTCAAACATATAAAAATGATAAAGAAGCCGATCACGTACCTGTATCATAGTTGCTGCCTTATTTTGATTTTTGAATGTAAAATTATTTCGGGCCGCCATTGCACGCATCCCTGTCTGAACAGTAATGACTGCATACTGAAGATTCTTGTAAGACTTCCAGGCCATGCGTCCACGCAATTTTTTCTGTATCTTGAGAGATGCAGACACTCTTTGCATATGTTCAAACAACTTCAAAGCAATCCATGCTGTTAAATGTTTAAAAAAAACTAAAAATGTATATTTAACAATTAAAGGGTATATTATAGAAAAATCATAAAAAGTTCTACACCCATAATTGGCTGTTAAGACAATCACAAATTGCAAAATGTAAAAGTTCCAGCAAATAAGGTCTAGTCTGCTACTCATATCGGGTTATTCTTTTAGGATATATAGGTTGCAGATACAAATAAGCATATGAAATACTACGTAGAATAGTCAAACCTCGGCATGCAGATTGCAAAGATACTGCAGCCTCTTGTAAGGCAATAAAATATTTCCGGGCAATATGTGTTCTAGCTTTCCTTTGAATGGTCTTGGCTGAATTGTTTAGCTTTTGTGCCCTCCTAGAATCAAGGTCAGCCATCTGACCAGCTCGCAGGAAAACTTTTGTTTTACCAATCTGCATATTTATGCACTCTTTAAGAGAAAAGACTCACAATTCAGAAGGCAATACTAAAAAGAAAAGATATAAATATCATGTTAAAGAATATAGTTTGAAAGTAACATCTGTTTTCCGAAAAGCAAACTTTAGACAACCTGAGAACCAGCAAGCCCCATTTTTTCTAAAATCACTTTGCATGCAACCTTTTCATCATAACTGTCAACAAGCAAAGTCAAAATCAAAACTTGATATCAGCATGCAAATTATACTTGAATCACATAAAAACTTTGTGATGCTTTATTTCTTTTAAAACAAAACATTTTTCTAAACAAAGAAAAAGCTTCAAAACAAGACATTTTTTCGAACAAAAGAAGTTTTTAAACACTTTATTTTTGGACAGAGAGAGTATTGACTTCTAAGTTGGAAGATAAAAATTGTCATTACCTTCCCTCCAATACCTCTGGAGCAAGAAGACCAAATCGGTTAAGAAATTCAAAAAAGGTCTTACGAGTAGGGTAGCCAGCACAACTAATTCTAATTGCCTCTAGGACTCCCTGAAATGAGGACCACCATAATTCATTCATAAAGTTTAATAAAGCATTGATTTTTTTTCAAATGCACCATAAAATAACAGTTATGTACTCACGCCACAACGCAGTTGCTGCAAGATGTTGACATTCTCAAAGATGGAAGGTTTTAGAAGATTGTTTGGCTTAACACATCTGATGTAATGAGGCTCAGTAGAATTCAGAGTCTCCATCAATTGTTGGAGTTGTAGCTGCACCAATCAAAATATAATCATTAGAACTCTTGCTTGCTTAGGTTCTGTTAATTTCAAAAAGAAATACTTTCTTGATGCATTTGGCACTTAAATACATTTTCCTCAGAAAACTACTGTGTCTGACACCTACAAATGAATGAGATTTTGTGGAAGAGGTCACACTGTTTTGAAGATGAGAAGTCATTCCCTGGTCTAATTTGGTAGGTTACATGTTATATTATACATAGAACATATTTTCTAGTACAATATATTCCAGGAAAAACACTTTCTATGACAAGTTACTTCCCTGGAATCAAGCAGAGCCTTTAGAGCATCACTACTCATTCCCCTTTATTCCTCTCCTACATCATCCATTTCTAATGCCACATCATTTTCCTCTCCAATAATCCTCACCATACTCTAATCATTCATCTACTTTTTTACTATATTTTTTACACTTGTCATCCAATCATTGGTGCACAAAAAATTAAAAATGCAATGCATTAATAAAATACTTTCTCTCTCCAGGGGAATAATATTCCCCCATCTTCTTCTCTCTCTTCTATTCCTCTCAACTCTCTAATCATTCTTCTCTCAATTCCCCTTACACATCATCTTATTCCCCTCTCATACTCCCTCCACTAGAAATGCCCTTAAGAAAACTATTCAAGTACATTACATGCATATGCTTAATTCCACCTTACCTTAAAACGAGAACCAATAGATGAGAACTTTGACGATTTGGATGATTTGTTTGTCTCTTCAGGAAGGGGAGGGAAAAGTCCAGCTACAAATGAGCATCTAGAGCTATTTAACAAATCTTGATGCTCAGGAACAACATAGTCTTTGTTCTTGTCTAAAAATTGATCCGATTGGTACATGACCTGACATCAAACAATCAAAACCTGATAAACGCTAACTTAATTTTGGTTCTTACTTTAATACAGATATACACACCTTGTTAAAGCATTCAATTTACTCGAATAACACCAAGTCCCCCAATCATATAAGAGTTGGACTTCTTAAAGTTTTAAGGTTGAGACTCATATTTAAATTCATGACATCTGAGGTACCTCTCCGGCATAATGAGCAATTGCAAAGTCAGTACGAGATAGTTTTGGTTTGACAAAACGCTTGTGGCTCTTGAATGTCTGATAAAGCTTTTGTGCAAAAGTTTCATGCGTTGACTTGGGAAACATGCTGGAAACAGGATAAACCCATCAAGAGAAGATTTTTTAATTGATAGTATTTGAGATGTAAAAAATAAAAAAAAACAAATTGTATCGAAGTACAGTATAAGGTATACCAGGCTTCATCAAGAAGAGCAACGACTCCCCCGGGTTTCTGTTAAAAGAAAATAGTAAAACGATTGCATGAAAATCCTACTTCAGAGGCAGAATATCACAAGTGTAGTAGAAAGGAACAAATTAGCACAAATATGAAACCATTGAGGAAAAACTTCACTACCGAAAGTAAATAAAGGAACCTTTTCAATAAGATCCAAGACGTCTTGGTTATCAACGAACTCAATATAGCTCCAATCAATCTCTTCTTTTGTGTATTCCTCCTGTTCCATCTTGAACACATGCTGAAATAAATGACAGCTATTTAGGCACTATATTAAGGTTCAGGGAGATGTAACACGAAATGCCACCAAATGTACAACAGCAGCCCAGTAAAATCCCATCATTGGGGCCTGAGAATGCTGGGTTTATGTAGACCTACCCCTACCTATAAAGGTAGAAATGCCACTGATTGTACCTGGTTAAAATGTTGTTGCAACTTCTCATTTGTATAATTAATGCAGAACTGTTCAAAGCTGTAGATAAACATAGCAACAAAAGTTAGAAATATAACATAAAATCAGTCATACACAGAGAATTTAGTTATACTGTTCAACAATCACAACATACCTATTATTTTTGAAACTTTCAAAACCATAAATGTCAAGAACGCCAATTAGTGACTTTGAGTTTGGATCTTGTCCAATTGAGCTGTTTATTTTGTCCACCAACCTATTAAAAAAAACATCAGTAATCAAACACCCTTAGTATATAGCAAAACATTTAACTTGGAACACAACTTAATAAGCAACAATATGAGTGAATCACAGAATCACTACAAAAGTAATACAGAGTGATAACAAGGATTTTTGGATGTCATTAACTCAACCTTTTTAGGTATTGGACAATATTACTCCCACCTTTTAAAAAGCATACCATAGAGCCGACATTTACGCCTTATTATTTTCATCAAACCAGGACTGAGTTAGGATAGTTAGAATTCAACTTCTAAATGATCTACAACAACAAAAAAACATTACCCGAGTGCCTCAAAGGCTCCCCACCATTGCGAGGTAAGGGGGATCGAATGTATGCAGCCTGATACCTATGTTTAAAACATAGAATGGCTGGTTTTAGAACTTTTAAATGACAGGTCACCCTAAATTTATGACAATAATAAAATATAAATCAGATCCCACAGATCACCTATTAATGAAAATTATGAAGTGGTGAAGATCTCGTGCAAGAGGAGAAGCTGTGTTACCAGTCTTACCTTTGCGTCAAATTTGACCGGTGACACATGTTCCTTCTCGCACAAGATATCCATTGCTTCTAAATTTCATGCCTAAATCATTCTCAACCGGAGGAAATAGACAGTGACATGTATGGATGTGTTGTCCATTTTTATTCCATATATTATTATTGTTATTAGTATTATTATTATTATTAATATTAATATTAATATTATTATTATTATTATTATTATTATTATTATTATTATTATTATTATTATTATTATTATTAGTGGTAGTGCTAGTAGTGGGGGAATTAGTGTGTGGTAGTTAGCTAACCATGCTCCATGCATGTTGAGTGGTGTGTGGTTATATTGCACTATATATATATATATATATATATTTATTTATTTATTTATTTATTTATGTATTTATTTATAATGTAATTTTGATTCAAAATTATGGAATGAATGAAGAATTATCTTGTCTTTCTCTCGACATTTCTATCTAGCTTCTCTCTCTTTTCTAGGCCAATTGATTAAAATTCAATTGGAACATATTAGAGACATAAGATGCAAAGTTGAGTTCTAACTAGCCTAACTCAGTGCTGGTATAATGAAAATAATGAGGTGCAAAGCTCCGCTTAATATCGTCCAATACCTATATGTTGAAGTATTGGCATTCAAAATCTTAATAATAATAATATTAATAATAATAATAATAATAATAATACCAGTCAAATAAGCGGCAATATATAGTCTTAGCTAAACCATCTCTACTAACTGCTGCATTTTCAGGATCAAGACTTCTCTTGATGACCTCTTCTGGGGTGACCATCACCCGCTTCAATAATGCATCTTCTAACGCAGCAGAATCACACCTGATAAAAGTATAATGACTATCAAGACTTTGATTTCACTCATTACATTATAGGTTTAAAAACAGAAAGCAACTCATGCACTATTTTTTGCATACATAAGAAGCTCAGTTGTTGTCTGAAGATGGAATTTTGATTGGTCATCTTTAAGAACTGATGAGTCAATTTCTTTTCCTTTTGCGAATGCAAT